TCGGATCAGGCCGTTTTGTCAAAACTGCTGAAGAGAAAGGTAAGATCCACTTCAAGTATTTCATCGAAAGACGGGACAAATGAGAAAAAGAGAGCGAGTTCAAACAATTCTGTGATAAAAACAACATCAAAAAATCCTAACCAAAAGCAAACATATGTTAATTCACATAACCTCCCTAACTCCACGAATACTGAAATGAATACTTTAATTATTGAAAATAATAACTCTGCGACCCATATCATTGAATCTATACTAGAACATGATGCTAACAACACTGGAGTACCAGAAAATGTTGTTCAGAGTTCAAATGCAACAAATACACCATCAACAATAAATAGTATCCCTAACGTTCCGGTCAGTAATAGGTTTGAACCTCTTTCTACGGAAATGGAAGACGAACCTGACGAAACAATAGTTACTCATCAACCACCTCCAATTAAAATAAAAGGCATAACAAACTTCCAAACTCTCTGCACGAATTTAGTAAGCCTTTTAGGAGAAAATAATTTTGAATGTTTCTCTAACAAATCGATTGTTACATTAAAAATTAAAACAAGTGAAGCCTATAGAGTCTGCATTAAATATTTAGAAACAAACAATTACAACTTTCACACTTATCAATCCCAAGAAGACAAACCATATAGGTTTGTTATTAGAAATCTCCATTATTCAACACCACACGAAATGATAAGATATGACCTTGAAAGAAAAGGATTCAACATCCGTCTCATCACTAATGTGTTACACCCGAGATCAAAAGAACCACTCCCACTCTTCTTTGTTGACTTAGAGCCAGCTCCAAACAATGCTGAAGTTTTTAATATCACTAACTTGGCTTACACAAGAGTTAGGATTGAAGAACCTTACAAAAGAAGAAATATTGTTCAATGTATGAGATGCCAAGAATACGGGCACACCAGAACATTTTGCCATCATAAACCACGATGTGTGAAGTGCGGTCAAGATCATCCTAGTGATAGGTGCCAGAAACCACTTGAAGAGCCACCTGTTTGTGCGTTGTGCAGTGGCAATCATCCTGCGAACTATAGGGGATGCATAGTGCATCTAGAGCTGCAGAAAAGAAGACTCAACGTGTGGAACCAGGCCACTTCGAGTAGAGAGGTAACAGAACACCTGCCTCCAGAGGCGGAACACGACCGACTTACTTACACCGTCCCTATCTCGCAAAAACTACACAACACGACTTACGCACAGGCAACGTGTACTAAAACTACATATCACAACACAACACCACAATTCACAACTGCTCAAACAACGAGTGTAACTCCTCACTACGCAATCTCTCACAATATAGCTCCTCATCATACAACTCAAATTACAAATCCCAAAACTTCAAATGAATCTTCTCGTTATGTAATCCCTCACAATATCATTCCTCATCATGTAGCTCCTCAAATTACAAATCCCCAAACTTCAAATATATCTCCTCACAATACCATTCCTCATCATACGACTCCTCAAATTACAGATCCTCGAACTCCAAATATATCTCCTCAATACACTACTTCTCATACTACAAGTATAACTCCTCAGCACTCAATAAACCAAACGAGTATAATCCCTGACCGTTCAGTACCTCATTATACCCAATCTCAATACATACCGTATCAATACACGTCAACCTCATACTCAAGACCTCATCACACAACATCTAATACACAACCTAATACTCCAGATCTCTCATTATATTTTAATTCCTTCTTAAACGATTTTAAATCTATGATAACTCCGCTCATCACTCTTCTCACCACGCTAATTACCAAATTTATTCCTCATGTTAGTCCCTAATTCTATCTCACAACACTCTCTAAAAATCCTTCTTTGGAATTCAAATGGAGCCCTACACCGAAGGAATGAACTTGACATTTATTTACATGAAAATGACATTGACATTGCATTACTAACAGAAACTCATTTTACTCAAACTACAACATTTTACATACAAGGGTATGTATTGTACCGCGCTGACCATCCCAGCGGTACTGCCCGTGGTGGCTCGGCAATAGTCGTAAAACGAACATTATACCACTATCCTCTTCAAATGACTGCCTTACCAGAAATTCAATTATCATCTATTTCGGTTGAAATCGATCACACCAAAATTTCTATTGCCAGTGCATATTGTCCTCCGAGACAAAGAGTTTCACAAGAAACGTTTACAGACATACTTGGCAGCTTAGGACCTAAATTCTTATGTGGAGGCGATTTTAACGCCAAGCATGCCCGTTTCGGCAATAGGACCAATAATTCTAGAGGAAACTCTCTTTTTAATACATGTATAGAACTGGACTATAACTGCATACTACCACCTGAACCGACTTACTGGCCGACAGACATAAACCGTCAACCAGAATTACTTGATTTCTTTATAACTTCTAGCCTACACACACTACACCATCATATCTCTATTAGTAACGACTTATCATCAGACCATTCAGCGGTTATTTTATCTCTCTCTAGACACATGTTTACTATCAACCACACACCTACACTAACTCCTGGACCAATATTAATTGATAAATTTCATTCCATTATTAATAAGACTATTGATCTAAACACAAGATTAAAGACGGAAAATGATATTGACAATGCAGTAGAGACGCTTACTAAGACTGTACAAACTGCCGCTTGGCAATCAGCACACAAGTACGAGACCAACCGCGACAAACAGTACTTACCCCCGGAAATACGATCACTTCTAATTGAAAAACGACGTGCTCTCAACCAATGGAAAAGATCTCGCTATCCCAGTGACAAACAGATACTAAACGCACTTTCTAACAAACTTAGAAAACTTATACAACAATACAAACAGGAAACTTACAAAAAACATCTGACCACCTTACAGACAAGTAACAATACTCTCTGGCAACAAACCCGAAAGATACTAGGGTACCACCAAACAAAGACTCCTCTCCGTAAACCAGACAACTCATGGGCTAGAAGCGATAAAGAGAAAGCAGACTTATTTGCTACTCATCTTACAGACGTATTTCATCCACATGAAGAGTTGCCTGACCAACAGCACTGCTCAGACGTCCAACAAATCCTAATTTCTCCTCTTCCCCTTTCTCTACCTCCTTCCCCTATAACTCCTTCGGACATAGAATTTTGTATTAAAAAATTACCTCGCAGAAAATCTCCTGGCTTTGACCTAATCACACCTAAAATTGTACGACTTCTACCCAAAAAAGCATTAATCTTCCTGACAGCTATTTACAATTCTATCCTTCGACTTACTTACTTTCCTCTAGTATGGAAATTTTCAATCATAAAAATGATACCGAAACCAAGCAAACCTTTAGACCAAGTCACGTCCTATAGGCCTATCAGTCTTTTACCCTTATTTTCCAAAATATTTGAAAAATTATTATTAAAACGGCTCTATCCATTTTTAGAAGCAAACAATGTTATTCCTAATCACCAATTTGGATTTAGACCTGCACACTCTACTATACAACAATGTCATAGAGTGATTGATACAATTGCTGTGGCATTGGAAAAGAAGGAATTTTGCACAACAGCTTTCTTAGACGTCTCACAGGCCTTTGATAAAGTGTGGCATGATGGTCTACTTTGTAAAATTAAACCAATCTTTCCGCATACATATTATTTAATAATCAGATCGTATCTTGAGGATAGATTTTTTATTGTTAGCCAGGATGGTAAATACTCCGACTATTGCCGAATCGGCGCGGGAGTACCGCAGGGCAGTATTTTAGGTCCGGTTCTGTACTCAATTTACTCTTCTGATATTCCACAGACACCAGACACATTACTCGCAACTTACGCAGACGACACTGTCATACTCTCGACTGACTCTAATCCGATCACAGCATCTCAGAAAGCACAGATTCATTTAAATCTTCTACAAGACTGGCTTGATAAATGGCGCATAAAAATTAACATTCAAAAATCAAACCAGGTTACATTTACACTTAAACGTTCGGATTGCCCTCCACTGACACTTTACAACACCCCTTTGCCAAATCATACTGAGACAAAATATCTAGGACTCACAATGGACAGACGACTGACCTGGAAATCACACGTGACTACATTAAAAAAGAGATTGAACCATCGGTTATCACTACTAAGACGAATGCTACACCATAAAAACAAACTATCACTTTCTAACAAAATTACTATATACAACATGCTACTCAGACCAATATGGACGTATGCCTCTCAGGTGTGGGGTTCATGCAAAAAAACACACTTACAGACTATTCAAATTTTCCAATCTAAATTTCTCCGGTATATCTCTCATTGTCCCTTCTACATAACCAATAAATCACTTCATAAAGACCTACAAATATCACAAGTGACTGATGTAATTAAAAAATATTATAAAAGTTTCCATGACTCCTTAGCTGGACATCCTAATCCACTTGTACAAACATTGCTAACAGACACACTACCACAGAATCCACCAAGGAGACTCAAGCGCCTCTGGAGCAGAGATCTGCTGCGTCAGGAGTCACGTTAGGAGTGCCTTCACTGGGAGGCTTCTCCAATCACGTATTCACGCTAATCCCGGAGAGGAGGTTCGCTAACGAACATCACATTTACAAAATATGCCAAAAGGCATTTGTAAAATTGCTCAATAAATAAATTTATTATTATTATAATATAATATAAAGACTTTAAATGTTCCATATGCCGCTGATTTAGCCCTAGTCAGATACCTATCCTTTCTTGAAGAACTCCAGTCTCATCCGAATCCATTTGTTTCCAGCCTTGCTTCTTCCTCGATTCCTGATTATTCCCGTAGGCATCTGAAAAGAAGACGGCCTCGTGATCTTCTTACTTAGAATTAAATAGATAGTGCTACAACTGGGTAGTATCTCTTCAAGTCTGTCCATGTCATTATTTCTAATGTGTGCATTTTTACTGGTTATATTTTTTATACTGTTGTAAATTTCATTAAATAAACAAATAAAAAACTATATATTTGTTCGCCATTATAAATGTTTCAGGTGGAATTGATTGATTGGGAACCCGAAAATTTGTCTGGAAAGAAAGATAAAGGAATTCTGAGGTATCCAATTAAAGAAGGAAATGGTTTTGATTCACCTAAGGAATCATCAAATGTTGAAAGTAAGTTTTACCTTATAGGATTGGATATAGATTAAGGTGTTTTTCTCAAAAATTCATCCATAAAATTATGGTTCTGTCTATATTCAGGATTGACTCATATTCAGATTTTTAGGAAAATTTGTGTTCAACTACACTTGGGGTTTATTATTCACAGTTTATTATCATGTGTTCATTCCTCATGTGAGACCTAATACAATTTATAAAAATAATTAGTGATATCTCATTCATTTTGGGAAAAGGAAAAGTAATAAATACATTTTTTGGAGGAAATGAGATATGAGATGATACATACGTTTAAGATAAATGCCATGATAAACTAAGAGTTGAAAACAAAAATGGTGGTTACAGAGAACTATAACAGAAGAAAATATGATGTAAATGGTACTTCGTACTTACTGATTTTATTATGCAAGTTTATATGTAAAGTAATAGCCCAAGATGGGCTGAGTTGGAGAAGACTGATATATGTGGACAAAGTTGTACAAGATCTGAAAAGCCAACAGGAATTACATAAAAAAGAGGGTCAAAAGAAAACGATCGTATTGTTACAGAAAATGTTTAACCAATTTCAATCAAAATTTAGAAACAAATCAAATAGATTAGTTTTTTAGGTGTGAATACTGCCATCAAATAAATAATCAGAATTTATTTAATGTTTTTCTTTTTTAACCAAATCATGGATCATCTTGAAATTTGTTTTTTATTATATTGATTTTACCTCTCAATTACAAACATTCCACTTTTTGAAAAATGATTAAGGTTCACTCATATTTTATTTGACCATTTAGAATTTCTGGATCTAGACATTAACGTTAAAAAAATATCAACTTTTTAAAGAACAAATTATTCAAATATAAGTATAGATGTTCTAGATAACAAAATGAGTTTCGATAGCCTGTTAATATTAGTTTAATTTTCTATTTATTGAATTTTTAAGATGTGATTTTTAAGTGAGATTTTGGTCTGAATGTAGCTTAGCTTAGAAAATCTCTTAGAAAGTCATAACTTTCTAAAATAGATAAAAACAATCTAGAATGATACAACAACTTAATACGTAAGCTGATTTCAATCTGTGTAACCTTCACATTCTTTTGGTGGCAACATTTGTAAAATGTACAATAGATTTATAACGTGTTTATGCAAGTTTTTTTTTTCTTTAAGTATAAAAGTTTTCTTGAATAATTATTGAATAAATACTTAGTTGATTGATATTTCAAAAGATGAAAATTGCCTCAAATAACAAAAGCAAGAAGTTACATAGAACAAATAAACAAGTTATTCATCCATTTTAAATAAACAAACTTTATTAGTATATTGGAAAAATATAATGGCTATGATTATAAGGATAAAAGTAAACTATAAATATTTCAACTCAACATCTGAAAAAAAAAATTGATAATTTTCACTTCTTTCAGCAGTCTCTGAGAAAAACAACTAAATGCTTTTGTTCTCTAAAGGCTCATATTAATACAATTGATATGATCAATTGGTAGTAGAAACAATTAAAAGAAATTATATTAAATTTACAGGAAAAGTAGCAACACTCATTATGTTTTAATAAAAATTTGTTATTTCTGATCTAACCAAATGTTAGAATAAAACTTTAACTCCAAATAAATGTCCCGGAACTACTTGTTTTGCAATTGTTATCCATAATGTTGATTGAAAAAGATTAATTAAAATAATGATAACACTTGTCAGATAACATGTTTTAAAAGAAAAAAATGTATAGTCTCCAACCAGCTCTTTTATGCCTTAAGATTATAAATGGACTGATAGCTGGCACCCAAACGTATGTTTTCCAGTCATATTAAATTAACAATGTTGTCAGAACACCAAGGAACACTCGTTATGACTTTTTTTCACCAAATATTGAGGACAAATCTACTTTCCTAATTAACACTAAAAGTATTTAAGATAACTAAAAAAAATACCTACAATTCAAAATACCATCATATAAAAGTGAAATTTCCCTTGGTTAAATATGAATTAATACAGATCGTTTAATTTCAAAGCATGAAGAATTTCGCATCATCATACTTACACTCGTTAGGTTTTTTACATTTACATTAAGATATTTCTTCTTGTGTTTGAGATGTATTTATTTTAATTTTATCATTAGATTCCTTTGGAAAAATCAAAGAAATTAATACAATCATTTTTTTAACCTAAAAAAATGTGAAAACGAATATGAAGACCTGGGACATTAAATGGTAAAATAATATAAGAATCACCCTTAAAATAAAATAAAAAATCTCATAGAAATAGATATATTAAGATCCCGTTTTTATTTAACTTCTCTTCATGCTTTTTCTTTAAAAATATTCAATTTACATACCTATATTTTAATTTCAAAGCTTCATCATATTAAAAATATATCATGATATAATTTATCTATGAAATACATGCTTTATCTCACCTGGTGTTATTTAAGGCTAGCCTTTATCTTGTGTCCTCGACTCTTTAAAATCAATGATTTATCATAATACATTTTTATTTTTGCAGTACGGATAAAAGGCGAACATGAAGGCAGAATCTTTGACGAAAGAGATGTTTCATTTTGCCTTGGTGAAGGAATAGAAAGTGACATTCCACCTGGAGTGGAGAAAGGTCTAGAGAAGTTTATCAAAGGAGAAACGTCTAGGTTAGAATTAAAACCACAATATGGCTTTGGAGCTATTGGGCATGAGAATTTTGGCATCCCACCAAATGCTCATCTTACGTACACCGTTACATTAAAAGATTTTGATCCTGTAAGCTATTTCATAATAAATTTATTTTGTAGTTTTTACTAATATTCTCAGCTTGGTATTATAACTAAATCTAATATCATATCTTATTGTTAACTCCTTAATACTGTTATCTCTTATTATAGAATTTTTTAATATGAAACATCAGATATCAATCCAATTTCCTAACGCTGTCAAGAGAACAGTTTATTTTCTGGCATATTCTTGAGAAATCTCTAGTTAACATGAATTGGTTGTAAATAATCTGAAGCAATTTTAGGCTATAATGGCATGCATTTTTTTGGCTAAGACAAACATATTCTATGTATATTTAGTATACAATTCTCAGCAAGTTCTCACGTGATCCCTTCTTTGACAATCAGTTTTAACTATTCTCTGTATAAGAAATATCTGTTCCCGTTATCAAATAATGTCTGACAAGTAGGACAGTATAGTTTCCTCAGTATTTTTATTGGGCTTATAAGAAAATACGCATACAGTAGGGTTATTCATGCACTTATTTTAAATGCTTAATGTGCCTATCATGCTAAGCAGTCATCACAAATTTTGAATGAATGGTTAATAACCTGTCTGTACTAACGTGCTGAAGCATTATAAGTTATAGTAAGGTTATGCCTGGCCTGTAAACAAAGTTTGTGAGTTCTTAATAGGTTTACTAACGGTTTGATTTATTTTTAAAATGTCAAAATGAAATGAAAACATTGAGTTGCTGGATTATTTAGTTAAAAATTCTTTATTAGAAAGCATGAATGAAGATTCAGATGATTCAGAAGGCAAAGAACTTGATGAATATATATATGAAATCCTAGCTTTCTTTACATTCCAATTTGTGAATGTTGTATACATAAAAACCAAAGAATCGAACACATCAAAACCTTACAATAACCTTCTCTTTGTGTTTACAAAGTTAGCAACACTTTACAGGACCCTAGGCTGCGTTAAAATCAAAAGTGCTAGTGGCTATATTTAATGAATAATTTTTTTGACTTTATACATTTAAGAGATTTACAATACTCAGCACTGGTTGTATGAATCTCCCTGGAGCACTAATATTTTAATTTTATTAAAAACTGAATAGGATAATCTAATAAAAACACTTGAGATAAATCAAATTAAGGTTCAAAACTAATATAACTTCCCATTGTCATATGTTTGCTGCTTACATCATTTTACACCCATATTCTTAATGATTACATTAATTTAAATTTTTAAATGAAATTGATATCATACTGTTTGTAAATTATTCCTAAAATTTCCTCCAATCGTAAGCCGAATCGATTAAGGGGTTTTTGAGGTTAAATGCAGTGGCTGATGTTAAATTAAAAAAGAATTTTGTTTTTTAATTCATAAATATTCAAATTGAATATAGAAATTTTTAACTATTTAATTATTTATTGCATATTTATTTATAGTATTTAATTTTAATTGTGCAATATTACATTATCTTCTATTAATTTATTTTTGTTCATATTATATGTAATTTGAAGTATTTAAGCATACTAGTCGATGATTTAGGTAGAGGTTATGATTTAGATTACAAAGAAAGAAAGAAAAGAAAAGAAAATATAAGAAAAATGTATAAGAAGGGAAAGTAAAAAAATAAATAGAAATTGAATGAAAAGAAACAAATCTAAAAAAAAAGCAATGTATAAGTTTCAAAATATTGTTGTAACAGATCCATTAGTATGCTGTGTCTATAGTAACCCAATATAGTTGGGAAGCACCATTTTAGTGTTTTTTTCTTTCTCTCTCTCTCTTCTTATACATAGCTTCTATACTCGGTGTGTCACACTGATCAATCATGATAATTTATGGATAGGCTTATCCATTATTATTATTATTATTCTACAGTTCACTGGGTTTCTCATTTTGCTCTGTGCCGAAAAGTGATCATATTTATGTAGAATAGATTAGGTGACATTTATTGGACTGCATTAAATTTTTTATCTGCATTATGAGGGTTTTTTTTTATTTCATTCAAGTCTGCTTATACAGATAATATTTTTTCTTGTAGGTTGTTGATATATGGATGATGTCCAATGAACAGAAATTGGAACAGTCAAAAGTATTAAAAGAAAAAGGAACAAAATATTTCAAGTTGGAAAAATATCAACTTGCTCTCAAAATGTATCTAAGGATAGTTGAAATTTTAGATTATAAAAATGGTAAGTTACATAAATATTTTTTTACTTTCACTTACGTATATATGTAATATATAGTAAGGGTAAGTATTGTTTTAATTGTTAACATAAATTAGCAAATCTGTTTAATTTTTTAGGATATAACATGTTTATATAAGGTGATTTTTTTTCCAAAAAAAAAAAAAAAAATCAAATCTTGTATAATTTATTTATCAACCATAATATGAAAAATGCGAAGCATTAGTTATTTTAATTCATCCATAATTAATAGTAATGTGGATGGAATAACAATTCCTAACCGAAAATAGGATTCAATAATGATAGGATTTAATAACAAATGTCGGATGATTATTGATAATCTTCAATTTATATTTATTGCAAAAGAATGCAATGTTACTCTAAAGAAGAAGTTCTAAAAATGAGTAAATAGAAAAACATATTTTTAGGTAACAATACTTGAATACTTACTTTTTTTTTTTTAAGTTCTACATCACCAGTACATAATAATAATAATAAGTTAAGTTTGGCTTGTTAGTGAGTCGAGAGATTCAATACCACTAATATTAAAATAATTTTTTATTGAGATTAAGTTAAGTTAGATCTCGGTATTGTCTTAACAGCAGGGTGCAGTAGAAAATGAAATCAAAGATGAGTTAGTTTAATTGAGAAAATTTGTTGAGTTCAATTTTATTAATTTTAAGTTTTGATATTCCTATCTTACTGATAGACACTTCAAAGTTAATCACAATAATACCTATTCATCCCTCTTTTCTCAATCTGCCGGAGTTCCTCAAGGTAGTATCCTTGGTCCTATCCTTTACACAGTTTATACAGCTGATATCCCAACCCATCCTAACACTGTCATCACTATGTATGCTGATGACACATGTATCCGTCAGTTAATAATGATCCAACAATTGCATCTCAAACTCTTCAATCACACATCACAAACCTTGAAGAATGGTGTCAAAACTGGAGGATTAAAATAAATTCCAATAAATCCCATAAAATCACCTTTACCTTTCGTCGTATAGTGACTTGCTGCTATCCTATAGTATCTTTTAATAACACCCCACTTATCCCTGTAGAACAAATCTGATACCTAGGACTCCAGCTGGACAAACGTCTCACTTGGAATCCTCATACAAGACTGAAACGACAAGAAACTGCTCGACGTTTCCGCTTACTCCAACACTTACTGGACAAACGCTCTATACTTCCAATTAATTACAAACGACTCATATACATGACTATAATAATACCTATTTGGACTTATGGAGTTGAGCTATGGGGCTCCACTAAACCATCAAATTCCTCTCGTATCCAATCTTTACAATCCAAAATCCTTTGTAAAATCCTCAATGCTCCTTACTTTGTCACAAATAAAATAATCCATAAAGACCTCAATGTTACATATGTTTCCAATTTGACCAAATCCAGATACCTATCCTTCCATAATAAACTTCATAACCATCCGAATCCTCTTGTTTCTCACCTTGCTTCCTCTTCGATTCCTGATAACCCTCCGAGGCGTCTGAAAAGAAGATGGCCTCGTGATCTCCTCATGTAGACAAATTATTAGAGTGCTACCAATGGGTAGTTTCTCAACAAGCGTGTTTCATGTGATAATATTCCTCTTTACACATTTACTTGATGTATTCATACTAATCCAGTTGTAAATATCATAAGAAAAGTTAAAAAAAAAAAAGTTTTGATAGTGCTTTGTGGAGAGAAATTTTCACTAGTGTCACAACCGAATCTTCGAGCTGTTTCCTAAGTCTTACTTGTATTATTACTGTAATCATGGTTTACTTTTGCCATAACCATTTTAACATTTATATATATATATATATATATATTTCTTAAAAGTTTTAATAATATGGATTTTCAGATTTTCAAGGAGCTGAACAGGCAGAAGCAAAGTCTCTCTTACTAGCTGCTAATCTAAATATATCAATGTGTCAGCTCAAGCTGAAAAACTATTTAGCTGTAAGAAAGGTTTGTGATAAAATTCTCGAAGAAGATAGTCAAAATGTCAAGGGTCTCTTTAGGCGAGGACAGGTATATTGTTTTATTACTTGGGATTTTTTCACACTATTATGTTGCATTATTGCTTGGAATACTTAGGTCAGCTGTGTTTGCTTATTAATTTTTTTGGAATAATTAGTTTCAGTCTCTGTTAAAAGATTTATGTTCATACCAAGCCATGAAATATCTATCAACATAATTGGTAGATAAAGCCTAAAACTAAGATCACCAGCACCCACGCGCCTCTAGATTCCCCTCTCTCCCAGTCTCTGATACCTACTCGAGTATTACTCAGTTTGAGTTGTTCTTTTTGGAAGAGACTAGCTTGTTTGTTTTTAAGGCAGACTAACAATATTTATCCACTTACAAGAAACTGATTTATCTTGATAGCTCTTGAGCAGTAAGTGCCACTGTTGGCTAAACTATATACTGTAAAAAAGTGAACCCATCACATAACTTTCATTCTACTTTGGGTAGAAATAATGAAATTACCTACATTTTCATATGTAAATATATGTGAAAGTAGAAATTATAGTAAATATAACATATTTATTTAAAACAATCAATCATCATACATTTTTCCATCCATCTTATTTGTTAAATGTATGCATTTTTCATCACTGTCCATTTTCTTTTAAAACTGTATTCTAATTGTTTATTTAATAATAAGGGTGCCATGATTTTTTTGTAGTATGACAATGGTGCTGCGCCATAAAAAGTCTGAAAACCGTTGTTCTATAATATAACACATCTTATAATAGAATTATTTTTATTTGGTTAAGCCTTAGATATATATACCAATTTTAATTTTCATATTGCCACAGTATCTAAATATAGATATTAATTAATAGCAGAGCTGTGTTTTAATCATTTAAGCATTTATGAAAACCACATATATCATCTAGTATATACTACGTCAATATATATTGACACCCAATCATTCCTAGCCTATCATATAACACATGACTTTTCATTTTTGTGCTACACTATTCACATGCAAGCCAACATGCGTTCCATTTTGTGAGGCGAGACTTGGTTGTTCCAACTGAGGGATCCTCAATACATGAAATCTGTTGAAAATTAGGATTCTATTTTTTTCACTATAATACTTTCCATTTCTCCATATCTCGTATGTAAGTAAAACTGTATGGAAGTGAAAATGCATCGTTTTACATACTTAAGATTTTATTTAATGTGCCATTACTAAGTTCTTATTTGTTTCTGCTGTTACATATAACTGACCCAGGTTGGTATTGAACCCTATATGTTCCAAACAGCATTCTAGGACCCTTTTCCCAACATTGTTTATAACGTAATCTTTATTGAGGTAAGCTATCTCTGTAGAACTACAGTTTTTCTATTCACTATTAGTTATCACGCCTCTTCAGAGCTATTAATTTTGATTTTACTTTACCAAATTTTGCCACACAACACTATGTATGCCAACTATCACTGCTATACAATGGCTGTTGTAAAAACATTATTTAAATTCTGAGATTTAAGGAATGCATGAACCATTCACATAATGCCTAATAATTTTATGAATAAATCATAATACCATTTTAACTGCTCTCTGCATTTACTATGCTCATAAGTTAAACAAGAAAACTTATTTTAAACAGGCCAATGATGAATCACCTCATCATAGTAATTATTACAGCATAAAAATTGTTGTCATTGTTATAATTAAAAGTTTCGAATGTGTTATAAATTATTTACTTATTTTTATGTTTATTTATTAGATTTACTTAATTTTGTATACATTTATATTAATTTCTATTATATTTTTGTAGGCATATTTAGGTTTAAATGAACCTCAATTGGCTAAAACAGACTTTGAAGCTGTATTGGCAGCCGAGCCTGAAAACAAGGCTGTACCACCTCAAATTGCTATTTGTAATGCTAAACTGAAGGAAATACGATCAAAGGAAAAGAAAATGTATGCGAATATGTTTGAGAAGTTTGCTCAGAAGGATCGTGAGGTTAGCGCCAGTAACTAAAATAAATATTATGTTGAGAATGAGAAACAAGAACCACAAAATATAACATTTATTTCTCAAAGACAGACTTTTCTTATGTTAAATTTTATGTAAATGTTAAACATTTAAGTTCAAATTTTATATTTTGTGTACCTCTTAAATTAAATATATTTATGCTAGGTATTTCTTTTATATGCTTTGTCAACTAATATTTATTCATTATTTATCGTGATATTAAAAGACTATGAGACTTCTTCAAGTAAACATAGGTTTTATAATTTCATAGTGGAGATTTGGTTGGCTTGAAGGTGAAAAACCTGTTGTTGAAATAGCCCCTGAGAATCCCGAGATTCTTGAGGAAAGAAAAAGAAGAAAAGAAGAAAAAAGAAGGTATATTGAAGAAACAAGAAGGCTTTTGCAGTTAAAAAAAGAAAGAGAAGAGCGTGAAAAAAACCTTGATAAAAATGATGTTACTGAAAATGAAGATAATGCTAATCCTAACAAATCAGAAGAAATTATTAGCTGTCAAACAGCAGACACCTCCTCCGAAAATAAATCTACAGATGAAAGCTGTATGTAATTATTAAATTGTTGCTTAATGTTTTGGCATGATACTCATTGTGCTCGCCTTGAACTGATTGGCTGAAATGTTTCTTACTAACAGTAGGAGATGATAACCTGAAAGTGATTTGTTTTTTATGGAGTGTATTAACTGGATTGCCATTAATAATACTGACGAGTAGTTGTGAGATTCTTTCATAAATGTGTTTGCCAACATTTGATGAACTTAATTATTACTACAAGTAATATCACGATTCTCATTCATTTTTTTATTTCTTAAACTTGATAGTTTAGTTTTCTCTTTTAATCTTAAGAAGTCTTTAGTTACGAGTTTTTGAACAATTTTTTTTGTTAAATTTGTGTCTTCGATCAAGCTTAGATAACCTTAGGTAAATGTTTAAATTACAAATGAACTTCATCACAAATAATTTTGTTATTGTTAGCAACAACAACATTGAATGAAATAAAATGTTCTATATTTATTTACTGTTTTTTGGTTTCCTAACATTAAGTGACATCCTTTCTAATGCAACATTGGCATTGAAGAAATCTTGATAAATATAATTTTTTTTTTAACTCATATTTTATTATCTATGAGTTTAACCCTTTGGCTGCGGGAGCTCATTTGCGAATTTCTACCACCCTGCAAGATCTTAGCTTTCAAAAATACATTTTAACGTTTTTATTCAATTTTTAAAAAACAGGATATATGTCTTCCCAGCTGCATATAACAATACAAAATGAAAGTGGCTATCCCGCAACACTTCACTTTCTTGCTTATTTCTGAAAAGCAAAACAACTGAAAATTATCATATAAATAACTTTAAGTGATCATAAAAATGACATTATATTATTTCTAAAAAAAGGACACCGACAGCAGGATATGAATTATATACTTCTTTGGCTTTTAATAAAATAGTTTTGCCACTATTTAGCCTATTTATGACCGCCAACCTGGACCATCTCCTTTCTTTATAATGCAACGTTCAACTATTAAATATTCAATATATATTTCTTTGTATTTACACATTTTTTTCTTACCTAAAAAAATTCCATATTGAAAATAGTGCAGTTATAAATTGTATTATTGCTCTTACATCATTTATTTTGAATTTCAAACACTTTTATATTATATGAAATATTTATTCTTTTATATATATATATATATATATATATATATATATATTGTTTTTAGGTGGATGGAAAAATGATAAAACATTTTAAATTTGTAAAAAAGTATCATTTTAATTTAGGATATTTTTACATTTATTAATTTTTACTATTAAATTTTAAGTTTTGTATATTTTTACATTTATTTATTACATTATATGCATGTATTTACATATATACATGCATATATATTTATGGTAACTTTTATTTGTTTAGTAGACAGAGATTCACATGTACCAAAATCAGCATTCAGTAAAAAAATAAATAAATTATATAATTAACTTATTAACATTTATTTGATATATAAAACATTTAAATACAATATAAATAAGATCATGGATATGACACAAATAACAGAGAAAGGATATACCTTGGGTTCAGAATAAATCTGCAACTGATAGCTTCCAAATGGTCAGGATCAGGAACAACTTCACTGAGTCAGCAATAGAGGACTAATGAATGCATCGACCAAGCCACAAGTAAAATAATGAAGACGCGACTTTTTCCTACCTGTTTAAGTGACAACCGCTCGGGCGGGAAGGCATATATTCCAGCCGCATCAGTGACCCAACTCACTAATGGGATGGCATATATCCCGTTCGCACCAGTTACCCAACTATTAATTGAAAGACATGTATCCCGTCCGCAGTCAAAGCGTTAATCTAGTCAAAGCGTATTTTTTTGTCGTTGCCTTATTATTTCTTTAAGATGAAATGCTAGTGAACCTACCAACCATAATATAAAAATACATTAGTGCTTTGTTAATTACGATGTTTTTACCCCAAATTGGTTATTATCATGAATTTAAAATTTTTATGTCTTAATGAAGATTAGGATTTAACAATAAATATGCGAAACTTACCCAGATTTTTTGATGCATATTTGCAAAGAAAATAAATGTTGAAGAAAAGTGGTGGGGACAGAGCTATGTAACGAGAATGGAGACATGGTTTTGACACTGTCAGGCCGAATGACATTCTGAGTGATTCTGAATGATCGATATTCTTAGTAATTGTGTATGGTTAATTTTTTAAAAAAAATTGACGGATTTCTAGGAATCCTGAAATCTAAGTATCAATAATAAGAAGTGGAGGAGAGACCAATCTAGCTACTAGATAGGTTAATTTACTAAGAACTCGCAACCAATATATATCCTTAATTTTCATTTAAAGTAAATAATTTTCATTTTGCTATATATTTATAAATCATATTCAAGTAAAAAAAACATTTTTATGGTGAACTGTAAAATGGTCAATAAATTTAAAAAATGGAATACTATACATATTTGATTTACAAAACAAAACTGAATCTTAAACTATTATGTAAGATATTTGATAGTTATTTTTCTTTTCTTTCCAACATATTTATTATTAAAGCAATATTTCCCATTTAATTTTTATAATAGCTGAGCTCATATTTTTTAATCTTTTGTCAAAACGATTTTTGGACATTAGGAAGTAACAAGAAGGTCAACAAAATTTTTTTCAATCAAATAGACATTGTGCTAGGTCCACACTTTCTTGAGTCTCTACACTAACAGATGTAGAACGACGTCAGTCTGATTAATATGTGTTGTGTTCATCATTATTGAAGTCATAATGTTTCCAGCTTCAAAACTTCCATCCAAAAAATAGCTTTCTGTTTTTTCTCTCACTCTGTCATCACTAAATAAAAGTATTTAGTTTCAAATATATTTGATTAGCTTTTATTAATGGATGTTTAAACTGTTTAGAGCTGAAAGACACATTGAACGCATTGCGATTAGCAGCTGAGTACGTCATGCTGTACTGGTGTCGGGCCATACATACCTCCAATAGGGTGGAACGAAAAACTCTTTTTTGGCTGACAACTTTCTAATTGCACATAATAGTTGCCTTTTCATGTCAATGAATCACCTCAAATTTTTGCTTTTTTATATTTATATCTTGAGGTTTCACAAGAGGCTTAAAAATAAGGTTTTATTCAAAAAAAGGTTTTAGTATCTAGCAATAGATTCTTCTTTACTGTAACAAAAATGATACGAAGTTTGGGTGCTTTAAATTTATAATTAGGTTTATTGAAAAAGTTTGAAAAAATAGCCATTTTTTTACTTCAAATTTGAAATGTTAATTTCGACTTGAATTAATCTATTATAACTAATCTTTTATTTTAAAATTATTGTCTAAACACAGTTTTTAAAATAATAACATAAAATCAACATTAAAAAATGAGTTATAAAAATAATGAACTTATCCGTTGTTCTGAGTGTTTCTCTTTTTAGAAAAGGATTAAAAATAAAATTTCGTCCAGTTACCAAATTCCCAAAATTAAAGAACAATTAGTACATAATCAATAACTCTAGGTTGGGAAACTCTGACGTAGCTCTTTTATTGTTTTCATTCATCAAATAACGTACATAGCAGCGAGTTTTTTTGGGTGAGTATAGTAACCATTTCTGTGAATGATTGAGTCAATTATTTTTAAATACTACTCATCAAGGTATCTTGAAAACTTGTATCTCCAAAAATGTTTAAAACCATTGACACGTGATGCATCAAGCTTAATATGGAACCAGACAGGGGCATAAATCTGAAGGATGATCTGTTTCAACATAAAACGAAGGATACGACTAACTAATGTAAGCCATTGTTCCTGTTCTTTTTTTTAACATATTTAATTTAATAACATGTTTTTTTAACTGATCAGAAGAGCATACTCCAATTGAAATTGATATGCACATTTCACCAAGTGAAAATTGCATCACAAAAGATCATGCAGAAATCGAGAAAAAAAAAAAAAATCAGCCTCAACACTAAATTAAAATGAGATCAATAAAAATATAATTGAATAAAAGAATATTATTTCATATTTACATTGTTTCATGACAGTAATTATTAACTATGTACTAATTGTTTTTTAATTTTAAGGATTTTGTAACGAAATTTTATTTTTAATCCTTTTCTAAAATCTCTTTAAAAGTTAAACGCTCAAAACATCGGACAAGTTCATTATTGTTATTACTCATTTTAATGTTGTTTGTTATGTTATTATTTTAAAAATTGTGTTTAAACAATAATTTGATATTAAAAGATTATTTATAACAGATTAATTCAAGTCGGGATTAACATTTTGAATTTGATGTAAAAAAGGCCATTTTAAAACTTTTCAAAAAATCTAATTATAAATTTTGAGCATTCAAACTTCACATAATTTTTGTTATAGTAAAGAATGATCATTTGCTAGATATATGGATATTAAAACATTTTGTGGAAAAATGTATTACTAAAATAAAA